CAAATTTGCATTCATCACCTTTGTAACAGTTTATTATGTCGTTCATATATAATAAGAAAAGTAGAGGGCCTAGTATGGAACCTTGGGGAACTCCATATTTTACATTCATAGTCTCTGATGTAGTGTTGAGAAATGAAACATACTGTGATCTATCCGATAAATAGCTTTTTAGAAGTCCTAGAGCTAGACCTCTAACCCCATAATTTTCCAGTTTCCTCAGGAGAATGCCATGGTCAAGAGTGTCAAAAGCTTTGCTTAGGTCAATAAAGATTCCTAGAACATGATTACCACTGGATGTTGATGTTGTGATTGAATGAACTGATTTGTGGAGTGCATGTGAGGTTGAGTGGCCTTTTCGAAAACCAAATTGTTCATTACTGAGAATGTCATTAGCAGTGAAAAAGGTATAAAGCCGTTTGTATATTATTTTTTCAAATATCTTACCAAAGATTGGCAATATTGACACAGGTCTATAATTTTCAATATTTTCTTTGTTATCTTTTTTATGGATAGGAGTTACTTTGCCTATTTTGAATATGGATGGGAACGTGCCTTTTTGAATACATGTATTATACAAATTTGCTAATATGTTGGATAAGAGATAAGCCGGTTTCTTGATAACTGCTATTGGTATATCACTGGCTTTTCCGTTAACGAATTCTTGAATTATTTCAAGAATCTCCTCAGGATGAGTTTCTTCTAGATGTATTGAACTGTTGACTGATTTCGACATAAACTCAACAAATGATTGCATTGGTTGGATAGACAGTTGGTTGTCGGACAAAACTTTCTCATTTAAATTACTAGCTAAAGATGTAAAGTAACTATTGAATTTGTTTGCAATTGTCCGCCTACAAATTACTCTAGTTCCATCTATAATGAAGTCATCTTTTAGCTGATTCTTCTTTTTGCCACGAAGCTCGTTGATTATTTGCCAGGTTTTTTTGGAGTTATGGCTATTTTTCTCAAACTTTTCAGCATAATACCTGGTTTTGGCAGTTTTTATGGCAATTTTAAGATATTTTGAGTAGTCCTTGTAAACATTATGTTTTTCCGGATCCCCATCTGGAATTAACAATGTTTCTGTTTTTTTCCATTCAAAATAAAGTCTGGCTTTTTTCTCCACAGAGTTGATAAGGCCGTTTGTGATCCATGGATTTGTTATGTTATTTCGTTTGGTGGTTTTTGGTGAAGCCAATTTGCAAGATATATCTATCTTTTCTTGAAACAGATCCATGAAGGATTCAAAAGAGTCACATCTGTGGTAGAATGTATCTATGTCGTTTTCAATTTCTTCACAGAGCTTATCAAGGTTTGCATTACTATAGTTATAATAAATGGTTGTTTTTTCAGGTGGTTTATTCTGTTCCGAACTAGCATCAGAATTCATTACTTGAAGGCAGAAAATGGGCTGGTGATGTGAAGCACTATCCTGAATTACTCCAGATATAGTTGATGAGTGAATGTCATTAGTGTGTATGTTATCAATGCACGTTTTTGAGCAGTGGGGCATTTGGTGTGTGGGAATGGATATTGTGGGCGTGAACCCATGACTATAAATAACTTCTTCAAATATATCTTCATCTGGGCCTGATAAATTGGTTATGTTAACATTGAAGTCCCCTAATATGTATGCTTTATGTCCTTTCAGTGCAGTAAGAACTTCTTTATACTGTGCATTGAAGTTAGCAAGTGGATTGCTTGGTGAGCGGTATACAACTCCAACTGTTACTGGTTCTGGAGCATTACTTATTGTTACAAATAGGGACTCAAAGTGCTCTGTACAAACAGATAACTTTTCAATCACACTAAAGTTAAAGGAGTTGTGAATGTAGAGAGAAACTCCACTTCCTTTCCTTTTTACCTGTTGTGTCTTATTAGAAACGAAGCGTTTTTGGTAACATGAAGTATAGTCTTTAAGTTGGTACAGCTGACTATTGCAGGGATCAATGTTTGTTTCTGCTAGACCTATCACAGAAAATTTATGGTCTATGCAGGCTAATTCTAAAGCCAATTTGTCAAAGTTAGTACCATTTCCATCAATATTTCGAAAGTAGTGTGAGAAAATGCTCTTTGATGTTGATTGAGGAATCTGCTTTATGAGGTTGTTGAAGTTTTTAGTAGAATATGATTGACAGTTCTCAAGAGTTTTTGAGATTGTACCTATTGAGTCTATATAGTCGTGAGGTTCATTGTCAAGTAGTTCGTTGTTTGAAAAGTGAGGTGCTTGATAGAATGGATTATAACGAATTATATCATGATTTTGAATACAGTTTGAGCAGTAAGTTTTTTCTCTAAAAGTGGCAATGTTTTCCTGTGTTTTACATCTCTTGTGAATGATGCAGTCACACTTATTGCAATTTATAAATGGGTGTCCAGCACGAATAGGTTTGCTGCAGCAGACACAGTTCTCACATATACGTTTGGCTATCATGACATAACTACGGATCTACGAGAACGTGGGGAAAATCTTTTTTGGGCCTTGGTAACATCACTGAACAACCTCCCATCAACAGGGCTACCTAGGATCTTATGGGCAATTGCCCGGGAGAGTTTAAAGATACCGCTTGACCCCAGGTGGATTGGGTCATCCGGCTTCTTGTATCTACAGAACTGCTTGTCCAGTAGACCCTCCTCATCAACAAAACTATCAAAATCTAAAGTGCCTATTCTAGTATTAGTATTACAGTACCCAAATAATAAACTATTAAACTCCATGGCTCTGTCATTCAGCCAGGAGGACCTAGTTGGAAGGATGGGTGAAACTATAACTTTAGAGTATGGACACATATCACAAATATTCTTGAGCTTCTTTGTCAGCTCATTAGCCCAATGTTTAACATCATCCCCTCCCCTCTTGATATTATTTACACCACAGTGTACTACAACGTTCTTGTATCCTACACAAAGAACAGGGTCTAACTGATCTATTGTGAAACATTCAATTCTTTTCCCAGGCAGTTTGTGACCAAATGTTCCTTTTCCAGCCCCAAATTTGAGGAACCGGGTGTTTGAATCACCAATAATCAAAGTCGCATTGGTGCTCCTGCTTACGTAGCGAAAGGTTATACTGTATCTCAATTCCCTCTTATCTGTGCTCTTATCAATACGGTGGTCCCACAGAAACTGGGACTGTTTGCTCATCACATAGAGACTACGTCCCTCTATTGTCTCTACGATTTCTCCTTCAAGTTGATCCTTTTTTGTGAATTTGACAGAACAATCACCACCTAAGGATACTGTAAAAATGGAACTATCATGGACCAATGATTGCTCGTTATCAGAGTGCTTAGGAAGAAAGCTGTTCCCATCGGTGTACCGATTTATCAAGCACTGATTGATTGTTGAACTAGGACATTCTTCCTTTATCTTGGAGACAAGCTGATTAAGAACCTCAGGAAATTCTGTTGATGTCGGTTTTTCAGCTTTAGCCCCCGGGTACTGATAAGGTTCGCCAAAGCTCACAACCCCATGTCCATTTTCGGAGTTACTATCAAAGGCTTCCTTCTGTTGGTCTAAGAAAACTGAAAGCTCAGAGTTCAATTTTTCATCTACAAATTCTGGGACATACGACAGAATGTGCTTGGACTTAGGGTCGTCTACACTTGCATGCTTCTGTGCATCTAGGAGAAGCTGTTCTTGGTCTGTTTCACATGGAGCAGGTGACCTTATATGGAAAGGAGGCATGGTCAGATCAGGGGTGGAAACATTTGACGACCTACTGTTTTTAAAACAGTTGATGTCAAGTTTGAGCTCAGCAAGCTTGTTGTTGATAGAGTCAAGAGTTTTGAGATGGCTATCATTGTCTTTGAGGTTCTTGATGGAGATCTGGATGGCTTCTAGAGAATGGTGTATAGAGCTACCATCAGATGTAGTGTGACCCGTTGGCATGCTCATGCTGCAGGGAGCTGACAAGTAGGAAGGGGACTTGACTTCGTTGTCAACTCTCTGTCCATTCACCACAGCGCAAACACTTTCAGCAAGACCTAGCAGGGATAGGAGACCTTCTGCTAGGGTGAGCTTGTTCAGAGATGAACAGCTCTTGATCATGTGTGGAGTAATGATTGCAAACTTATTTATTTCAAGTTTTAAGATACTGCAAATGTTAATCTTGATTAAGTCTACCTCGGAGCGTAGGTTCTGTGCATGGGTTAACAGATAGGTGTCGAGGGGAGCAGATCTATTTGAGAAGAAACTAAGGAGACTGCTGACATTTTTGTCTTCTTCTGAGTCCTGATTTTCTGAATGAATTATTTTATCGACATCTCGAAGCATTTCGTCAATATCATCAATGACTGAAGCTGAGGGGGTGGTGGGTGTATCCTGATCGGGAACCGTAGTGGACGAAGTCTGGTCTGCAGCAGGTTGAGGTTTCTCACACTTTTCTGTTTGAGTGTCAGTGGGGGTTTCCATCATGGTGAAGAAGCAATGGGGGTACCAGGCAGACCAGGGGGCACCTTCACGTCCAACCAGCACACTCACTGAAAAGAAGGAAGAGCAGAAAGTAGTTTGAAATGTTCTGTTGTGGAAAACAATGAAAGTGTAAACTGGATTAGTCAAAATGATTCAAAAGATTGAAAAATTGAACAGACTGACGGACTACGACACATGGGACAAGAGAGTGAGTGAGTATGAAAAATATGAGGTGGTTGGACTGGCAAGCCCTATCATTTAATCAGAATACATTACATATAATCCATAAGCCATATATGTCAGCCTGTTCTTGGAGCACAGCCCCAAAAGTTATCAGAAGTGATGTTCAAGTTTCAAGTTTAAAATTCTTTCAACACTATCTACACATTAATCAGGGTTGTCCAATTGTCCAATTGTGGATTGTGGTGTGAATGGAGTTATACATTGCCAAACAGAAACATTATTCACTACAACTACTTAACTTCTTAACAGGTTAAGAGTGCCAGTCTTCTGTTTCAGCACCCCCTGGACCATCATAGTACCCCCGATGCAGTTGACTTTAGCAAGCCATGGACATATTGGACATCCTCAAATTATTTGTTATATAGTAGTGTTGAAAGTATTAAAACTATAACTTTAGAGTAAGGACAAATTTCACAAATATTCGTGAGCTTCTTCGTCAGCTCATTAGCCCAGTGTTTAACATCACCCCCTCCCCTCTTAATATTATTTACACCACAGTGTACTACAACATTCTTATATCCTACACAAAGGGCAGGGTCTAACTGATCTATTGTGAAGCATTCAAGTCTTTTTCCAGGCAGTTTGTGACCGAATGTCCCTTTTCCAGCACCAAATCGGAGGAACCGGGTATTTGAGTCACCAATAATCAATGTTGCATTGCTACTGCTGCTCACGTAGCGGAATGTTATACTGAATCTCACGTCCCTCCTTTCACTGCTCTTATCTATTCTGTGGTCCCAGAGGAACTGAGACTGCTTGCTCATGATATATAGACTGCGTCCCTCTATTGTCTCAATGACTTCCCCACTTTCTGATCCTTTCATTGAGAACTTAACTGAACACTGGCTTCCTAATGATACAGTGAAAATCGAACTATCATGCACAAGCGAGTTCTCGTTATCCGAGTGTTTAGGGAGAAAACTGCTCTCATCATTGTACCGGTTGATCAGGCATTGATTAATAACTGTTTCAGGGCAAAGCTTCTTTATCCTTGAGGCAAGTTCAGCAAGAACTTCAGGCAGGTCTTCTGATATGGGCTTAGCAGCTTTTGCCCCGGGGTAATCATATCGTTCACCAAAGCTTATAACTCCATGCCCGTTTTCTGTGTTCTTGACAAAATCATCGTTCTGTTGAGCAAGGAAATCTAATAGCTGAGAGTTCAAGGTTGTATCAATGAATTCTGGTAAATAAGACATGATGTGCTTAGACTTAGGGTCGTCTGCACTTGAAGGCTTCTGTGCATCTAGCAGGAGCTGTTCATGGTCTGTTTCACAGGCTGCTGGTGGCCCTATGATAAAAGGAGGCATGGGCAGGTCAGGAGTGGATACGTTTGAGGATCTGCTGTTTTTGAAACAGTTAATATCAACTTTGAGCTCAGCAAGCTTGGTGTTTATGGAGTCAAGAGTCCTAAGGTGGCTATCATTGTCTTTCAAGTTTTTAATGGATGTTTGAATATCTTCTAAGGACTTGTGTATAGAGCTTTCGTTAGAAGTAGTATGACCCATTGGAATGCTGGAGGGGGCTGACAAATAAGAAGGGGACTTAACCTCGTGGTCACATCTCTTGCCACTTATTACAGCACAGACATTTTCTGCAAGGCCAAGCAGGGATAGTAGACCCTCTGCTAAGGTGAGTTTTTTAAGAGATGGGCAGCTCTTAACCATAGATGGCGTTATGATTGCAAATTTGTTCACATCAAGTTTTAGAATGTTACAGATGTTGAGCTTAATGATATCTACCTCTGAGCGCAGGCTCTGCGAGTGAGTCAACAGGAAGTTGTCAAGGGGGGTAGACCCTGAGAAGAAACTAAGGAGGCTGCTACAATCTTTATTTTCCTCTGATTCGTGGTATTCTGAAAGAATTATATTTTCAACATCCTTCAGTACTTCGTCAATTTCCACCATAATGGTAGGAGTCGTGGGTGCAGGTGTAGTCTGATCCGGAACCGTAGTAGTTGAAGTCTGGTCCGGAACAGATTGAGAAGAGTCAGTGGGTGTATCGTTCATGGCGTAGAAGCAATTGGGGGTACCAGGCAATCCAGGGGGCACCTTCACGTCCAACCAGCACACTCCCTGGAAAGAAAGAAAAGCAGATAACAATTTCAAATGTTCCGTTGTGGAAAACAATGAAAGTGTATTTAAACTGGATTAGTCAAAATGATTCAAAAGATTGAAAAATTGAACAGACTGACGGACTACGACACATGGGACAAGAGAGTGAGTGAGTATGAAAAATATGAGGTGGTTGGACTGGCAAGCCCTATCATTTAATCAGAATACATTAAATATAATCCATAAGCCACAAATACTGGGAGATTCTTTAAATGTGACCATAGACTGTTTTATTGACAATAAAGGACTTCTAGAGCTTGTACAGAAGACAAAGGACCCCATTGAAAAAATACTGATAGTTACCATGGCATCACTAAGGGAAATGGTTGAGAAGGGTGAAATAACTGTTAACTTTATGCCCTCAAGGACGATGCCTGCTGATGTTTTGACTAAGAGAGGGCCTAGTTCTCAAAGTCTGCGTATGTGTTTTGAGAGGGACTAGTATTTTTAAAGAGTGAACATCGAATTTATTTTTTATTTATGGATTTATCGTATATATTTTTAGCTTTTTCATACATTTTAATGTCATTTTTGTTTTGAGTCAGAATCTTTATTTTTTATTTTTGCAGATTAGTTTTTAAAATCAGTGCGTGTGAGTTTCATGGGATTTTTAAAGTGCAAACTAAGTTATTTGACTAGTTTTGCTTATAGTTATGTTTATAAAAATGTTTACTTTAAAAAAAAAAAAAAAAAAAAAAAAAAAAAAAAAAATAATAATAATAATTTAAAGACCGAAGTCCCGGCCAATAGCCTGGTTCCCCTGGGTTGTTGTAAAATGATAATATAAAAATCCGAAGTCCCGGTCAGTAACCTGAACTGTGTTTAGGATAACTGAAAAAAAAAAAAAAAAAAAAAAAAAAAAAAATGAAAAGGGGATATATATTAGTCAGTTGAGACACCTGTTTAACCTCTCTCTGAAGTCCTCCTTTATGAGGCAGCCTTTTAGCCTGCATAACTCTTTGTGGAGCTGGTATTGATTTGTTTGTTTTGGTTCATTACCACTGGCTTTTAAGTTAGTTGAGAGGATTGCATAATCTATCCTCATATCACACCCATCTCATTTAATCATCATTCACATTATATGGCCATTTATACACAGAAGAAAGAAGATTTATAAAGATCTACAGAAGAAGCATTTCTAAACAGCTGCCAACGCCTAACGAATAAGTTCTCCTGCTACATGTTCTGGTATCCGTGAAGATCGCCTAATAAAGCCGGATACCGTGAAGAAACAGAAAGAAAAACTAAAAGAGGACTGATGTTAATCTTATATACCATTTACAGGATGGCAGAAACTCCAGGAGGTTTTGTCTGACTTGATTTGTATTCCTCGTTTGAAGTTTATGTTTCTATCATCCACTAGTGTTACTGTCTCACTTTATTGAATTAAAAAGTGGGACCTTCATATCAATTCTTCCAAGACTGAATTTGTCCATTTTTATTTAGCAGATCCTAAACCCACTGTTAAACGCAAGGTGATTGTTGGAAAAGTGTATAGGGGTGATGAAGAGTGGCGCTCTAACAAAACTTTAGGATCGTTGATGTGCACTGTTAAGGACATCAAGAATCGAATATTCCTTGGTAATGTTGCCTTTAGTAAATTTCAGAAAGTTTGGATGAAGAGCAAGATTTCAGTCCAAAGGAAGATCAAAATCTACGAGGCACAAGTAGTCTCTATTCTACTCTACAACTGCAACTCCTGGGCTGCACCACTAGCTTCGTTGAATGAACTTGATATTGCTCATCGCAAACACCTCCGAAGAATCCTCAACATCAGATGGCCTAATGAGGCACTCTATGCTCGTTGTTATGTCACTCCCTTGTCTGTGAGAGTCTCTAAGTTTCGATGGAGAATGTTAGGACATATCTTAAGAGGACAGGAAGACTCACCAGCATACACCTCTATGTTATTTGCTATAAATTCTGATATTTTTATGGAAGGGAGACGGGGTAGACCATGTTTAAACTTATTAGATGTTATTAGAAAAGACTTGACTAGTAGAAATCTTGATATTAGACTTAAGAATTTGACTGATTTCGAAGACCTTAGATTTTTAGCTTTAGATAGGGAGGAGTGGAAGAAGTTAGAAGATGGTTGATGTTTTTGTTTTTCTTTTTTATGCGTTTTGATATCTATAAGGTGCCTAGGATGCTCTTTTAAAGAGATATTTCGTACTTTGAAAGATTTACTACTACTACTACTATTAAATGTCAAAATGCAAAATGGGACGTCATTTTGGAATCTAAAAGATTTAAAAAATGCATTTTTATTATCTCTTTTTGGACTATTTTACAGTTTAGTTAAGTTGCTGATACGAATTTCTGTAAAAAAGACAAAGTCGGTTATTTTGTTGTTCAGTTGTGAAACACTACCCAACCTACTAATGCCAAGCAGAAATTAAATTAATTATGGTCGGTTAAATTTGTCATACGTTGTATGACCCGCCGCGCACGAAGTGCGCGGCTCCCCCTGTATCGTCAGGACCTAGTGAAACGACCGTGGGTGTCACAACGTGATACAAGGTTAAATTACGTTTGGATGTACCATAAAATTTGGGTGTACCACTAAAGTTATTGATTTAACAAAAAATAGAATCTAAACATCAAATACTTGTTCCACTATGATTATATTATAAATGGAATATTTGTAATATTTATGACGATCAGGAAAAACTTGTCGAGATCAAGACCCAAATCCGAAAATCAAGGATAGAGTTTTTCAAAGAGAGAAAAGAAGAGGTTTCAAAAGACCTGAATGAAACCCAAAAATTGCAATTAGATCTTACATCAGAGAAAGGGGCAAGTTCCTGGCTTTCATCACTCCCACTCAAATCATTTGGATTCTGTCTCAACAAACAAGAATTTAATGACGCCCTAGCCCTTAGGTACAACTTTGGAATGAAAGATGCTGCAAGAAAATGTGTATGTGGAAGTGACAACTCAATAAACCACTCATTGATATGCAAAAGGGGTGGGTATGTATCTCTCCGCCACAATTCATTGAGAGATGTGATAGCAGAGCTATTAGAAACTGCTGGCTGTAAAGATGTTACCACTGAACCTCTCCTCATTCCTGTCAACGGGAGAGAATTTCCTGCAGGGGCCAACAAAGCAGATGGAGCTAGATTAGATGTTAGTGCTAGGAGTGTATGGAACCCATTGGAAAGGGCATTTTTAGATGTAAGAGTATTTCATGCTCAAGCTCCTTCCAATAAGGCTCTTGGATCTCCAACCACTATGTACAATAGCCATGAGAGACAGAAAA